GCCGGCTGTGCTCGAGTGCCTGACCACTGAGATCCTGGAACTAACAGGAAACACGGCTCATGACAGCGGAAGGACAGGATCGTCCCTCGGCACCTACAGTTGGCTGTCCGCAGCGACGAGGAGCTCAGCAGACTGCTGGGAGGAGTGGCCATCGCTCTGGGAGGAGTTCTGCCCGGCATTCAGGCGGTCCTACAGCCCGGAGGAACGGAGAGGCCAGCTGAGTCTGGGTGGACGGATCAGACGGCATCTGCAGCCAGTTTCTTAGGATCCACTGTGGGATGGACCTTTACAAGAGATCCTTCCTGTCTACAGCATCAGCATCTATAACATCTCTTAATGAAATGAGGATAACAAGTTACAACAACAAATAATTTCCCATTGGGATTAATAAAATATTTTTGAATTGAATTTTTACATATTTATTTGTTTATTATTACATATTTATTTATGTATTATTACATATTTATTTATTATTGCATATTTATTTATTATTACATATTTATTTATTTATTATTACATATTTATTTATTTATTTATTATTACATATTTATTTATTTATTATTACACATTTATTTATTATTACATATTTATATTTTCCTGTGCTTTCGAAGTCTGTGAGTTAATTTCACAGCAGGCTTTTCAGGGCCTTGGACAATCTCCTGAAACTCTTAAATTATTTCAAAGTGTAAACAGGAAGAAGAAATTAATAAATATCTGCTTACAACAATATTATTTTAGCTTTTGAAGCCACTACCCATCTCAAAGGAACACTAGTTATTGTATGCGGTGTTTCAGATGTAAGCATGATCATGGTAACATAATCAGATTCACAAAGACTTTGTTCTTCTGTCTTTATTTCCACCTACTTCAAATCATGCTGCTTTCACTCTCACAACTCTTTACTAGTATTTGTGTTTAATCAAGATGTAAATATGCTCATCAGCTGTTATCTTTAAAGGAATAGTTTGGACATTTTCAAGTGGGGTTCTGTGGTAAGTCCATGAACAGTTAGTATTTAATGGGACGTATCTAATCTGTTGTAGATGGATCTTTGAACACTCTCAGACTGGAGACATATTTTAGTTTCTAACCAGATGCAATAATTATTATTCTGAGCCACTTCTCAGTCTCAAAGGTTTCATCGAGATACATTCGTGCTTCGAAGGCCCATAAAACAGCATTTGCATAAAAACATCAAGACAGATGTTTTGAGATAGAAAAAATTGATTTGACGAAGTAATAACAGTTCATCTGCTCAAAAAGTGTCTTTTAATGCCTAACAGCCCCAATGCATCTGTTTTATGAATCATTCATTGCTGGTTTGCATCAGACAGGGATTATGACAGATTATTTGTATTTTCCTGCTGAAAGTTTCCCAGGTTGTCAGAAATGCTACAGCTAGATGCTGCTGCCACAGTTTGGGTAAGTTTTACTACAAGAGTTTAAAAATGATGAGATTTCTCTGTAAATGACAATTTCATGTGAAACTTAACAGTATTTATTTGTTTTAAACATGATCAGAATGTAGTTGCTTTAAGACCACAACAATCTACTTTGGTATTTTCTCTGCTCTGACGAGCCATTAGCTCATTAATCTGACTCAAATTAAGATATTTTTTCCAAATTGAGGTCACTATCTGCAACAGGTAAGATACTTATTACCCCCACATTTCAAATGATCTAAATTACCGTAGCTTTATTTTTTTACGTAATAACTTGTAAAATGTCATTGATTCAGATGTTGTAACTTCACATTTGTCATTCTTTGAATAATTCTTGTCATGTATAATCATCATGTATAATCATCATGTATAATCATCATGTATAAT